CCCCAAAACCCCAAAACCCCAAAACCCCATAATCATGAATTTTGTGTCAATAAGTCGATAAGTAAATCTTTTTGATAAAATTCTATATCTCTATATGCATTATCCATTTCATTTTTTCATAATATTCGCATATAATCATAATACATTTATCACTCTAGTTCACCACCAACTAAGAAAAGCTCATTAATGATTTTAAGAGTATCATCTGGATTAGAGACCTCGTGACCAATGGTTCTCTCATCTGCATAAATTTCATGATCGTTTCCACCTGGCTAGCACTTGTCACCGAAGAAATGGATTTCATCATAATCCTTCTCAATGTATTGCAAGCAGAAGCTCTTGTCCCAGCCCCTGGGGAAAACATCGAATGAAATCTATCCTCCAATTGAAAAAGTTAAATCATCTGTTCCCATCTCAGATTTCAATGCCTCTACAAATGCCTTTCTCACATTAGCAGTCTTATCGAATTCCTCGAATTCATCACGCTCTTCTCTGGAACAATTTCTACCGATGGGACTAATGTTAATCATTCCTGTTCTGTATTCAATGAATGTGCCTCTATATCAAAATATTAGTAATCGATTAATGATTTAAAATGCAATATTTTCGTGTCAATTGAGCACAGTCATGCGACATATCTGTGAATATCTTACCTCTTAATGGGAATATCAAGATCTGCAATGTATCTAAGCGAGAAGTTGATCAGTTTTTTTAGCTTACTCTCTCCGAGTTGGTCTTTAATAGACATCTTAGAAAAGAATTAACCCTTTCTTAAAGTATAAAGCCCATTTTCTGAGAAAGTGTAATCTGCTTTTTAGACCAGATCCTCCCCTACCTGCTCCTTAATCTTATGGAGATCAGAACCACTAACAATGCCAAAATCTACACCGTGATCTCCCATCTTGTTAATAGCTTCAACCATTGCCTTCTAAATTGTCTTTCTGGCTGGAGTCAGAGTCTGATCAACGTCAAATAATGCTATTACTCTCCTTTGTGGTTGCATTTTAATTAGATTTTTACAATTTTAATTATTTTTTATCATACACTGACACTAACAAATTAATGAATCATGGGGTTTTGGGGTTTTGGGGTTTTGGGGTTTTGGGG